CCCCCCCCAAGAACAGCTGATTACGTAACAGGAGGAACTAAAGCCTCGTAGGGGTTTGGTTGAGGTTGACAGTGTCTGAATGAGTGTGTGTGATGTGAGGAGATGAAGTGATGATGATAAAAGAATCGTTTGAGGATTGGAAACTGGATTGATGGGGCTTCAAAGTAAGACTCTCCCAGGTCTCTTTTGCCCGAGGCCCCTAAATTCCCTTGAAACGCTCCTGGGGCTGAGGTGGGGGAGGAAGTCAGCGCCAGCCAAACATCTATTTTATGCCACATGCATTTTTAACCATGTGATATTCTCCGAGCAGCCGGAGCGGCTCTGTGACTTTAGTATTAATTTGTCCATTTATGTAGAGGCAGTAATCTGTGGGGCTCTGATGTCTGGGCTGAGACAAACACGCTGGTTGTGGGGGCCGCTGAGAAACCCCACCGGCTCTCATTAGTGAGGAAGAAGGGAGATGACGAGGAGGAGAGAAGGTGGAAGAGAAGAAGAAAAAGGGAGGTGCTAACGAGAGATAAAGGCGGAGAGCGAGAAAGCCAGAGAGAGAAATAGAAGCCAAAAGACAGATGGATAGATCACAGCTTCCATCGCTCTGTCCTGTTTGTTTGTGAGGAAAGCCTCAACCCATTTCTTCTCCTCCTCCTCCTCCTCCTCCTCCCCTCCTCTCCTCTGTCCTGTCACCCTCTTGTTATCTCTCTGCACAAAATACAGAGGATTAGTTCAGGCCACGGAGGCTGCAGCCAAACCACTGGCAGACAATCACTTAATAAATGTTTCACTCAACACTGTGTGTGAATGTGGAGATGACTCATGAGTTTGGTGGAAAATGGAAAAGTTTTCTTTTTTTTCTTTTTTTTTTTTATAAAAGTCCACACAAGAGATCAACTTTTCTCCCAGTTTGTGGTTATTATCACTTTTGTTTTTATTCACCTCCACAAGCTGCGGTGGAGATTTTAGAGCCAAACTCTGGTTTGGAGAAAGTTTGTTTCCAGTGAATTCATTATTTACCTCACGTCACCGTGGAGATTTTTTCATCCATCAGCTTTCTCCGCTTTCTGCTGACAGGGCGGTTGTTGCTGGTGCGGAGGCTCTGGTCAAACTTGTGATTTTCATCTGACAAACCTGGAGCAAAGAAAACGTAGATTTTTAGTCTATTCTAGCAACAGTTTATATCTGAATAAAAACAAAACTCCTGCTGCTTTAAAAGGAAAAGTTATACGTTCCTCAGTTCACCTGAAAATATACACACAGAGTCATATTCTATTGAAGAAGTGACACCTCCCATCAACACTGTGATAATCACTTAAAAGTAGTAAAGCACAAATTCTAGACTATTTCCCAGCACATGATGATCAGAGGTTATTTCTAGTTAATAGACAGACGCTCTGTCAGAAAGAGAGAATCAAATGACCTTAAAGCTCCCTGAGGGCGTATGAAAGTGGAAAATGAGATTTTTAACCCGACGACCGACACTGCGGCAGGTTATTTATTTCAGTCATAGTTCAACTTACAACATGAATATAAATGAATCGTGTGTTTTAACACGAAGCCTTACATGCATTAACAAAATGACACCACGTCCAAGGACATGTGGTAATTACATTTTCATCTGTGCTTCTTCTCAGCAGCAGGGGAGACACATCTGTCACATGGAGTCGGAATGATTCATCCTCATGAGCCTCCCTGGGAAGCAGAGAGGATCATGGGACAGGAGCTCATCCTCTGTAGCTGGAGGCGATGTGACGTGACGAGTGCAGTGAGAGGATACCTGTGTCACAGCAACACTGTTTTTACAGCTGAACGACCTGAATGATTCATTAAAACAGAATCAATTAATCAATTAACAGGAGTCATATTCTAATAAACGGTGAAATCTGAACTTCTATTAACTGTCACACAAGTCGCACAGATGTTAATGTTGCTTATTAAAGGTTCAGTGTGTAGAATTTAATGACATCTAGTGGTGAAGTTGCACGTTGCAGCCGAGAACCCCTCAATTTATCTTTCTTCTGTTTGTGCACAAACACACCACAGCATGTCTAAACCGACTCAGCAATAAATCCTGATTCTGATTCTCAAATGAATATATTTTCCCTTCTACAGACCGTGAGAAGCCACTTTCCTCTGTCAGCCGGGAGCCATCACAAAGACACAAAGACGCCGTCTGTCAGCGGAGGAGGAAAGGTTTCACGGAGCAGAGAGGACATCATCTCTCAGGCCTGGGAACCAGACCAGCGCTGACCATCAAACAAATGCAACCAGCTACTCTGAACCTGAAATCAGAGCCCTGCCTCTCAGCGCGGCGTCCAGTGTTTTAGACAAAGGCTCAGAGATAAAACGTCTGAGCCGAATCCTCTCTGCTCTGCACCATTTTGAAACAAACGCTGTGATAAATGAGGTGAACCTGAAAGTACGTGTTCCTCCGAGCAGCCTTATGTATTATAACCAGGCTCTGAGTCTCTGTCTTTGCACTCACCTCATTAACACCCCCAAAAAGACACAGCAGTTGTAAAAATGCAATTACAGTTTGAACTTTTAGTCTTCGGGCGCTTTAGCTTTCACACTTTTCTCCGGGTGAGGGATAAAAAGTTTCTATGGGAACATTTCTTCCTCAGCGCTGTGTTCAGATCCGGTGTCTCTCATCTCCGCAGGTAATTATTCATCAGTCGTTCAGCGGCGGCTCGGTGAAAAGAAGAAGCACGGACATTTCTGATGAGTACATTTGCTCTTCCTGCGAACGATCCTCTGAATGTTGAAGAAATGTCGACAAAACCATCTCGAACTGTGCGTGTGAAAACGTGACGCTGGATTATTAAGGGTTTGAGCTGCACCAGCTTTTAGTGGAAACTGAAATATCTCAGTGTTCTTTCACTTTAACATGTTTTTGGTCTTTTTTTCTGATAATCCATGAATAAAACTCAAACACTCATCAACATGAACTGATATGAAATTCATGCAGACATTCGTTGTTCCCTGAGGATGAATCACTTTGACTTTTCCTCTAGTGCCTTTGTGATGTTGACATTTTCCTTCTTTTTTATCAATTACTTTCTCCGCTATTTTTAATGCATCAAACACTAGTATAGAATAATTATTGTATTTCATTAGTGTGTAGTATGAATCTTTTTTGGAAGAAAGCTGCTCAGATTGTCATGTTCTGCTTGATGGATGTAAACCTGTCCGTCATCAGATCTTCCCTCAGACACGCCAACGAGATCCGTGTTTTATCTCACAGGCGTCATGTTTCCTTTTTCTTCTCTCCTCAGGATTTCACTTTATCGGATCCAGTAAGGTTACGGAGTCTCATCCAGAGTCTCTTAATCATCCTGAGGTCATTCCTGATGCACGTTCTGCAGATGACCTTGACTTTCTCTTCTCCGAACGGCGTGTGCACTCCTCCGAGAGTTTAATCCCAGCTGTGGCACGCTCGGAGTTTGAGGATTACTCTGAAAAGCTTTCAAAGAAGAGAGTCAGAGGGAGGGAGAGAAAGAAAGAGGGAGATTTGGTGATAACCCCAAAGAGAGCTATTGATTTGCTGAGAAGACCCGGTTCACACATGGCAAGATTCAAGAGAAGAAAAGTGAAAGAGTTGAATCAATGAGCCGACAGCTAATCAAAAGAAGTGAGGTGTGTCAGCAGCCTGTGGTTACCTGGTTACTGTGTGTGTGTGTGTGTGTGTGTGTGTGTGTGTGTGTGTCTCAATAATTACAGTTGGTGTACATCAAATATTTTTTGAATGTAAAAATTCAGATTGGTTTCTTTCATTTGCAAACACGACTGACATCTTGGAAAATGTCTATTTACACAAGGTGCCGTGTCATCTGGCTACAGCTGAACTCAATTACAGCTTCCCACACATGCAGCACAAACACAAAGGCAGCGCCGCAAAAACGATGGAGATCACGGACACATCGCCATCTCGGTTAATTCCGAAAGTTTCTGAAGAAATGCTCTGAAAATCAAGATCATAAACTAAATCATTTCTCCAAATACCAGCGATCAAATTGAAATACGACGTGCGGTTGTGGGTGTGGCCGGACTCAGAGGTTCTGTTGTGTCCTTGTTGTATCTCACACATTTTAATCAGATCTTCATCGGACTGTGTTCTTCTTCACCCACTGGGCTCCAATCCTCTGATCGCAATCAAATTACTCTCATTCTAATTTACTTGAGTGGTCAGAGTTAGAGTTAGGGGTTATGGTCAAGTGGGGAGAGTCAGGGCGGGGGCTCAGAATCTGTGGTTAGGTTGGAGACAGTTAGAGTTCGGGCTCGGTTAAGGTTTATGGTTGAATGGTTAGAGTCAAAGCTTGGGTTGGGAGTTAGTGGTTAGGGGTTAAGTGGTGTGGATGGATATTTGAATGGATGGATGTTTGGATGTTTTGATGGATATTTAGATAAATGTTTGGATGTATTGATGGATATTTGGATGTATTGATAGATATTTAGATGTATTGATGGATATTTGGATGGATGGATGAATGGAAACAAATAAATCCACTTCAAAGTGTTCACTTCCTTTCGTCTAAATCTGGATATGAACCTTTAATGCAACTGCAGTCTGGGATTTGACAAATAACCTCAGAACAATAAAAACCAGGTCTCTTAATATTTCATCAGCTAATTTAGTGAGCTCTGCAGAAAGACGTCTCTCCTAATAATTAGATTTTAAATATTTGTTTCTTTCAGCAGCAGTGTTTTTGTGTAAAAAAAAAAAGAAGAAAAAAAGTCATGTCATGTAGAAGGTAGTTATTGCTTAGAAAAATAACTTCACAGCCCTGTTATAAATCTTCCAGAGAAACCACACACAGCTGCAGTAAAGCAGATAGTAAAGGCACAATATGGGATCTGTAGTATTCTCTTCAGGAGTGTTATGGGAGTATTATATGAGGGCCAATAAAATATTATAAAGTACAACAAAGTCATTAAAAACTCAGAGGCTCCACGGTTTCCCCGACACTTTACAGCCTCTTTGAACCTGATCCTCTCTCCGCTGGATTCTCCCTGTGTCGTCCAAACTGCGACGGCTCCTGTTTCCTCTGGGTGCTCCAGTTTCTGACACAATCTAAAAACATGTGGTGTCGTCTTCAGTCGTCAGAATGTGGTTTCCCCCGCACAGCGAGAGACAGCGGCTAAATCCCAGCTGTCACCCAGAAGGTGGCCTCTAGTCCGAGGCCTGTATTCATCAAACTTCTGAGAGTCGTTAACTGCAGCAAAACTAATGTAAGAGAAGGAAAGTTTGTCCCTGAGTGTGAACAATAACCTTTATTTGCTCCCACTTACAGCATCAAGTGAGAGTGTAGATTAAAAGTTTCACTTTATTCGTGTGAAATCACAGGCAAAATGAACAGCACCGACTTAGCTGCATTAAAGTGAACTATGTGAAAATGTGATTTAAAAAAAAAGGCTGACCTGAAGTGAAATCTGTTTCATATTTATTCCTGTTTAGCATATGAGACCGAGTGGAGCTCTTTGAAGTTTTAAGATTAATTTTAATTCTAAATAAATGAAGAGGAGTTAAAATGAGAGATGTTTTACCTTTATCGTTCACTTAATGTTAAATTCAACTTGTACCAGTTTGATAAACACAGCACAGGCCAAAGATATAAATAAAAACATCAAAACAATTACATTCTTTACTGGAATTGAAAAAAAAAAGATTGTTATTGATGTAATTACTGAGATCCAACTGACTGATAGAAATAAATAATTTGGCTCATTTCATTAACATGGTTTCACAATTCCAACGCAGGATTGAAACTCCCTGAGGCGAAACATTTTTCTCTCCAGTTTACGCTTTGTTCACCGCGACTCTTCTGTATTCAGGTGATTCCAGCACTCGGAGGAATCAGACAGTGTATCTGCTGAGCTGAGTTCATATCTCTGCACACTGTCTCCCCACAGGAGCAGATAACATAAATATTCTCAGACAGGATTCATTAATAAAAACAGAGCTGTCGTCCCACAAGCACAGTCAAAAAGTATTATACTGAGAGAAAAGATACGGCCATGCAATGACTGTGACTTTTATAGACTTGTAAGGTTACTTCACTGGGACTACAGCATCAGAACTCATATGTTTTGTTGGGTTATGGGGTTGATATGTATTTTGATGATTTACTGATTTAGAAAAACACAATGTTCATAGTTTGGTATCATATAGAATTTGTAGCTACACAGATAAAACAGGAGCTTTTTAATTCTCTCAGGAGTTGGTAGAGACCAAAGACCGAGCTGAAAGTATTTTGTGTTGTTTTATGTTGTTTGTTGTAAAGCACTTTGTTCCTCGTGTTCAAATTTATAATGTTGATTTGTTATGATTACTATCATTATTATAATTATCATTGTTTTTGAATGATAAATTATTATAATATGAATATTTGGGAACTTTCTTAGCTTAAGATCTCAAGGTTCAGATTCCTCCCTGTTTATTTTCCACATTATACTTAAATAAATTAATAGATAAAACACTTTGTGTTTATGAAATCAATCAATCAATCAATCAATCAATCAATCAATCAATCAATCACATTATGGTTTATGAAATAAAAGAATAAAGTACATTGTGTTTATGAAATACCTAAATAAATAGATAAATAAATAAATAAATAAAGCACATCGTGGTTTCTAGCAGACCATGATGAAGACTCTCCCTGACATGATGATGATGATGATGAAGAAGAAGCTGAAGTGAGGAGGAAACCAGCGGCGGTCACGTGACTGAGAGGGGGCGGGACTGTGCGTCTGTGCCGGCCAGTAGCGGAGCAGCGTCGGTGCTGGTCCCGGCAGCTCCACCGGAGAAAGAAAAAAAAAGCCCCGAGAGAGGAGACGAATAACGGAACCCACCGACGTTCATGGAGCCGATCACCGCAGCTCGACCGCCCGCGTCTGCGTCTCCTCCTCCTCCTCCTCCTCCTGCGGGGCGCTCGTGACTCCGTGCGTTTGGACACGGCCGCGGTGATCGATGTGTGTTTCGGGGGAGAAGCGGACGAATCCACAGCGGTCCACCATTGTCGGCGTAGAAATAAGAATGGCCTGGATGTGGAAGGTGAGTGGGTCCCTCTCTCTGTCCGTCACTCATCTGCGTGGACGAGAGGAGAACAGGAGGATGAAGGAGGAGAGGAGGAGGAGGAGGAGGTGTTGACGTGGTCGGAGCTGGACTGAGACAGATGTGAAGCAGGAAGCTGAGCAGCTGGATGACACAATCAACCTCTGCTTCTGCTTCTGTGTGTGTGTGTGTGTGTGTGTGTGTGTGTGTGTTCTTCTGCTTCTACACCGAGTGTGACGTTTATTTTGTGTGTCTGTGCAGAGGAGACGTGACACAGAGGGAGGCAGGGCCTTGTTTGTGTTGTGCATTCAGCCCATGTTTGTGTGTGTGTGTGTGTGTGTGTGTTTGCAGATGTTGCAGGCCAGCATCCTCCATGACGTGTTCAGGTGTTGAGATGATGTCAGGAGTTTAGAAAGCCTTGCAGAGGGTGTGTTCACAGATGAGGAGAAAGTTACTGGAAACTCCCTCACACTGACTCCCCCTCTCCCCCCCCTCCCTCTTTCATTTGGATGATGTACAGATTTACAGATGTGGACATCCAAACATTCTGCCAGATGTGTAGTTCATCCTACATGACATTAAACACGCAAATGTGGGATTAGTTACAGCTGCAACTAACAATTTCCTTCACGGTCGAGTCATTTATCGATTAAGATCCATAGATTTTTCCAAATTAAATATCGTGACAGGTGAAGAAATGTCTCCAGAATTCCCAAAAAGCTCAAGGTGACACGTTCAGATGGTTTGTTACGTCTGATCGACAGAAAACAAATCCATAAAACATTATAGGAGAGAAAAGTATAATAGTTTAAAACTGAGAAACACAGAAACTAAAAGATAATCAGCTAATCATGATGTAATAATCTATGAGATACATGACTTCAATCTACTTTCTTACTTCACTGTGTTCACAGATGAGGAGAAAGTTCATGAAAAGTCCCTCAGATGTTTAGTTCATCACCAGCAGCAACTATTTCCTACATCTGTTGAATAATCCATCAGTAATATGTCAAAACAGTCAAATGTTTATGTCTGATCAACATTATAAAAACAATTTGTAGTGAAACGAGAGGAGCAGCACGGTTTCAAACTGAGAAACTGTTTGGTTTCTAAAAACAAAAAGATAATCAGCTAAAGATGTTCTAATAGACTTTTAAAGACTTTCTTACTTCAGTGTGTGTGTGTGTGTGTGTGTGTGTGTGTGTGTGTGTGTGTGTGTTCACAGATGAGGAGAAGGTTCTTCACACTGACTCCCGCCCGCCTCCTCTTCTGTTTTCAGTTAATTTAATTGAGGTCGTTTACAGATATACAGATGTTGACAACCACACACACACACTGCCAGAGCCAGATGTGTAGTTCATCATATGACGCAAAACAACTCCATCTCCATTATCCGTAAATCTGCCAAAAGATTTCTCAATTAAATGTCAGTAAATTGTGAAAAAAAGTTCAAGGTGACGTCTTCAGAAAGTCTGACAAACTTTATAAAAACTAATATATTACATTTATTGTGAAAATAGAGGAAAGCAGCATCATTTTTTTTTCCTTCGGGCCAAACTAATGCTGGATTGTTGAGACCAAAAGTAATTTGTCTCTGCTGATATTATAAATATATATTTTTACATTAATGCAAACCATAAACTGAACCTTCTTTTGGTAAGGGAGCTTTATATTTTCATTATTTCAGAATGTGAAAAGTCGTCAAAGGGACCTTTCATCGTGGAAAAGTTGACTTGTTGGTTCTTTCAGTTTTCTTCTTGTGGACAAACCACAGAATCGTTCAATCATATCTTTGTGGTTTCTCTTCTGCATTTTCTGTTTTCTTATCAGCCGACGTACGTCTGTGCCAGTAATGATTTACTGTATGTGTAATGATAAAGTACTTGCTGATGAAATTGGTTCTACTTTTCATCCCCCAACTTCCCATCAAGGCACAATTGATCAACTGCCACCGAACTCATTTTTTAAAAACCCAAACATGTGTTTCAAACACTGAACTTTTGCCATCAGGGATTCTCTTTTAATCACAAAGGTGTATTTTCTCAGGTTTAATCTCAATATGTATCAATAATATGAGCAGTTCTTCAGTTGTATGAACTCACCAGCCTGCGTCTGTATAATTCATGACACTGAGAGTAGCTTTGCTCGATCTCTGCCACTTAGTTGATGTCTTTAATTGGTGAGAGGCCAGCAGAGGGATGTCTGACGTGCAGGTTCCCTCTGTTAGCTCGTGTTTTTAATTGGAAGCTGTTCATGCGTGAAGAACTGTGCTCGAGCTGGAAAAGGCCGCGGCCGTCGTCACAGTTCAGGGTGAGCTCTTCCATCGCTTCTCATCAGAAGATGTGATGCTGCTGTTACTCTCATAACCACACATGGCAGAACGAGGCCAGAGTTTCTGTGACGGGTTCGTGCAGGTTCACATGAGGCAGAAAGACAACACAACACAAAACAACACAACACAACACAACACACACAAAGAAGATTTCTGATTATTTCATGCATGTTTACCCAGAGACACAGTCATTCCTGAGTGTTGTTGACAGGGATGGGGGGGTTTCAGGGAGTGTCCCAGTTGTTGAGAGTCTCAGGGATGAATGGCACCTCTCTGAATCCCTCGTGTGATTGTGTTACAGCAGAAGACAGACTGATAAAAAGTGCCCTGCCACAGCTTTTAGAGAAAGCACAGACAGGATGTCGAATGAGGCTGGTTCAAATCAAATCCCCTCTCAGATTTCCCTTTGTCCCACTTTATCTGTTTCCCCCTCTTCACTGAGGTCAACATGAGAAATGAGAGAATCCATTGTTTTACAGTTTCCTGCAATGACTGTCATTTATTTTAATAATCAGTGATAATAGCTTAATAGATTCCTTCATAAGATAATGATAACTCGAAGCTATGATTTAAATAACTTTACTGCAGAGGTTTAGTTTTAGTTTTAAAGGTGTGTTGTGCGTTCTCATCGTTGTTTCCTCACTAGCTCTACCTCTTCACTTCATGGAGGCCCATCATCAAGCTAACCAAACTTAGCAACTGAGCCCCCTGGAGAGAAACATAGTAGTAGTAGTAAATCTATTGAATATTAAAAATGTTTTAGTGTAGGAGAGAGGAGTTAAGGTTTGTAGCGAAAAGCCCAAATTCATGCTTCTACGTTGAAGGTACGCGCGTAGCCTCCGCACGGGGCCGAGCATTCACAGTTGTTCGCAGGTGTATGAGAGATGCGCTGCAATTACACCACCGAAACGCTAGTGGCAGTAGAGTTTCCATGTTGCTGTTGAGTGTCTTCCGGTTTCTGGCTCGTTTCAAATTCTCTGGCATCTCTGTTTACTTCAGAACAGTGGAGAGTGTTATTAAGCACCGTGTCAGAGCTGATGGATGTCGATTCACACGTGGAGGGGACAGTAGAACTTGGCCTGTTGCATCATTGGGTCAGTGAACTGTCAAAAAATCCAGAAAGTTTTTACCAACCATGTCAGTCTCTTCGTTGACCATCTAGTAAACTAACTCTTACTTGGTTCAACTAAACAGATTATTGGTTTTGTACTTAAACATAACAAATGACTTCTATTGTTTCTAAGTTTGAGTTTTATTGTTTAGGCCATTTGGGGGCAGTAGAAGCAAGTTGATGTATCATTATTCTCTACTATTTTCACCAGCTAGTTGCTAACTGTGTACGTCTGCTGTGTGGTTGCACAGTGTGTAGTGTACAGAGGATTTTTACGGCTCTTTTGTTGGAAGCAGCCGCAGATGAAAACAATGCAAAGAAAGGCTTTGTCTTTTGCTCGGCTGTTGCCATCGATTCTTTAAACCCATCGAGCCAACACGCTACCATTTAAGCTTGTAGCTGCTTTATTATGGTAATGTAACCTACATCTGTTGTGCAGCCACATTCACACACACACACACACACACTGCTGTGGAGGGTTAGTGTATTTATAGTGGTAACCAAGGGTGATAACCTCCCTTCAGATCTGGCATTAATCCACAGTTGAGGTAGGAACTGGGCCAGAGGGCTGACCCTTCAATCACACACGGAATGTTATCAACATCTGGGAGGACTTAAAGCTGGACTTGATCCTGCTATGTGTTTTAGGTCATATTGTTCAGGTGCTCACTAATCCTGGGTGGGTTGATCATGCGCCACTCGGTCATTTCTGTGTCTGTTCCCGATTTGGACAAAATACAAAGAAGAGACAAACCAGAGTTTAATGAAAGAGCTGATTTTGTAACCTACAAATTAAGTTCCACTTTGTAATTGCAGTCCTGGTCAGCGGCATAAAATTACATGTCACCGGCAAATGAACCACTGCTTCTATTTTTTACTGTTCTGTCACGTTCTCACAAGAACTTTTTAAAGCGCTGACATCAATTTCAAAGTTTTATGCTTAAATTAGTCAAGAACAAGAGTTCAGAATCAATATTGATGGAAGACGAGAGTTATTCATCGTGCATCGTTCCAGACTTCAGGAGAAAATACAAACTGGTTTTACTCAATATAGTAAAACTTTTAACTGCATTTTTTTAAAGTGGAGATCGACTTAAAGTGCAAATGAGTGAATCATTTCAAAAGCATTTCCATAGAATGGTTCCTCGTCTTCGATCCAAACGATTTTTACTTTCAATATAGTTTTATGCTGTTTACCAGAACTGATGTTTGACTCCAACAACAAACCAAAGCTTCAACTTGCCTTTCTGTTTTGAAAAAGAACTGAAATAATGAGAGAGAGCCTGTAGTGATGTCTTCACTTTGCATGTTAAACAATAGAAAACCTGTCAAAAAGTTGATTAAAGTTATAGATATGATGAAGAAAACCTGTTTTAGAAGTTGAAACCAGTTGAGTTGAGTTGAAGACTCATTTCCTCTCATCAGCCTGTGTTTTGAGCCTCTGGTTTTATTCTATTACTGAGAAAAGACATTGTAATGATTTGGATCAGAGGAATATTTTTCTTAATCATTTCATTAATTGTCTCATGCTGCTTCTAAATTATCCTCAATCTCTGT